CCCTCTTTCTTAATACTCTCCATGATATATTGGGGGAGCCCTTCTGCTCTCTTATATACCATTTCCTGAGGTTTTTGTCATGAAAGAGGTATCATTCTTAATGCTTGTATCAATAGAGGTTACCCATGTCACAAGCCAAATGAACAAAGTAATCAACTTCCCCAAATTAAATGCTAGAGAGATCAAAGAGAAACAAGAAACTTCTCATCCATCTTTTCACCATGTTCCTCATGAAAGCCTGACATTTGCCCTCTCCTTGAGGCTAATCACTATTCTCTCCACATATCTTTCTGCTAAGGAATAAGTTTTGACTTACATTTTCATTGCTTTTAGATTTTTTGCTTCCCTTAAATTTGACAATAAATTCATTTTTTTATAGTAATGAGATAAATGGGATAAAGTAGCTGTATGTTAATTGCTTCCTTATTGAAAAATTGTAATGTAGCAAAAAATGGGTAACTTAAGAAAATTTATTCTGGATTCTTTTTTTTTTTGGAAAAACTAGCTAGGGGACATATTCTAAATTTCATCAATCAAATGCACATATTTTTCTCATTTTATTCACAGTAATATTTGCTTGTTTACTTCAATGACCAAGTCACCTTTTTAATAATGCACAGATAGAACTTTATGTGCAGTTGGGTATAGAATTTTGCCAAAGTTTGGAATTATATATCTAACAGATAAGGAAATATATTTATGATCTTTTGATGGCTAGGTATATTGTCCATCTATGGCTTCTCCAAAATTTTACAGAATTCTCGGTAAAATAGACATGTGGATGATATATGAATATTGGAAATATTTGATGCTACAATAGGAAAAAAACAGCATAAAAATAACAAAGTACAAAGCAGGGGCAACTAACCCATATTGTTAGTGAGCAGATTATAAGGAAAGTGGCTCCAAGAAAATATTGTGAACTGGATTTCCCAGGATACAAATTCTGAAATGGAGAAGCGCATGTAGGAAATTTTTTAGGGAGTACCTTCAGGATGAAAACCTGTGGAAGAGAAGGGAAGGAAGCAGAAATAGGCACAGGAAGGAGTTGAGATGCAATGCAATCTCAATGGAAGTTTCAACTAATTCCTCAGGGACCTCTGAGACCGTAGTGACCCTTAAGAGTTTTCCCAAGTTGGGGCAAGGGTACTGGCCCTTTATAACCCCTGGTTGGCCCATCCTTGCATCTGTGCAGACCTAGGAAGGGATGTGACCTTGTGTAAAATGCCTCTTTTTTTTACGAAGGAAATTCCTCAAGGGGAATTACAGCTAACTACTGTGTTCTGACAGCACTCTAAATATCTGAAAGAATAAGTCCCAGTCATAAAGGAGCGCCAAAATGGCATATCACAGCATCCACTGCAGTGGTGATGTTTGGAGTGAACTTGCTGAACCTTGAAGGAAAAATAATAATTCCCCAGGATAAGTTGAGGGAGGATTTGTGTAGGTATAGAGGGCATGTTCAGGCATGTCTTTTGTGTGTGAAGGCGTGGGCCATTTATTTCTGGAGGCAATGAGGATCAATTGAAAAATATTGGTCTGGGAGTAAATATGATTAATTTGTATTTTAGAAACATCATTCTTGTAGAAGTGTGGTTTGAAGAAATAGGAGAATGAAGACTGAGAAAGTAGTTATGAGGTAGTTATACACACTTTCTATAGAAAGCATGTATGTAGACTAAATATGTACACACACATTATATACATAAATCTTTTTAAAATGTTTTGGAAGTATAATTTAGATATAGTAAAATGCACAGATTTTAAAATTTCCTCTCTTTTCAGAAGTTGATCTTGGGCAGAGGTTGACACATTACAGCCCTCCAGCCAGCCCCCGTCTTTATTAATAAGGTTTTATTGGAACTCAGCCACACTCTTGTTTCTGGATCTTCTATGGCTGCTTCATGCTACAACAGCACAGTTTAGTAGTTATAAGAGAGGTAGCATGGTCTGCAAAGCCTAAAATATTCAGTGTTTAACCCCTTACAGAAAATGTTTGCAAACCCTTGATCTAGGGTTTAATGCTTCAGGTAATACTGTATCACTTCAAATGTAGCATAAGGAACTCAGTATGGTATATTTATTTCTTGCTTCCTACCCTTTGTGCTATTGTAGTCATACATTTTACTTCTACATCTGTTATAAACCCTCTAATTCACTGTTACTATTTTTGTTCTAAACACTCAATTATCTTCTACAGAAATTTTAAAACATGAACAAATATTTTATATTTAGTGACATGTTTACCATTTTCATCATTTATTTCTTCATGTAGGTGTGAATTTCCGTATGGCCAGTTTTCCTTGAAGCTAAAATTTTGCATTTCTTATACAGCATACCTATTGATGATGAATTCTCTCAGCGTTTGTCCTAAACATCATTATGTTACTTTCATGTTTAAAGGATATTTTTGCTGGATGTAGAATTTTACATTGACACTTTCTAGTTCGTCTCATCATTTCAGATATGTCGTTCCCTTGTTCACTGGCTTGCATTGCTATTGTTGAGATGTTATTGCCCTCTGAACAGTTTTAAGATTTTCTCTTTGACATTGTTTTTTTATCAGTTCTTTATGACGTGCCTTGGTGTGTTTTTCTTTGTATTTACCCTGCTTGGCATTCAATGAATTTCTCAGATATTTGGGTTCATATTTTTCAACTATTATTTCTTCAAATGTATCTTTTTCTGCCTCAGCCTCTACCTTTTCTGCTTTTCTTACCCCATTTGCATGATTGTTAAGATATTTAATGTTATCCTACAGGTTACTGAAGTATTGTTCATTTTTAAGCATTTTTACCCTGTCTGAGCTTTGGTTTGAAGGGTTTGTATGGACCTGTATTTAAGTATACTAATGTTTTCTTCTCAGTTTTCTAATTTGCTGTTAAGCCCATCCAGTAAATGTTTTATTTTCAGGTATAATTTTTAGTTCAGAAATTTCCATTTTGCTCTCTTTTGTTGTTTCTTTTCCCCATTAAGGTTTCATATTTGTTTCATCAGTATCTATATGTTCTTGTTGAAATATGGAACAAATTTATAATCTCTGTTTTAAGGTCCTGATCTGCTCCTTTCATCATCTGTCATTTTTCTATTTCTATTGACCGACTTTTCTCCAGTTATGAGTCACATTTTACTGCTTTCCCAAATAATTAATATTTTAAAAAAGTTTGTACTCGACATTATGGATTCTATTTTGTTGAGTTTCTTTCATGTTTTCATGAAAGTTTCATGAAAAGTAAAGTCTCATGGTCTTCCTTAATGGAGTGTTGAGTTTCATTCAACCGAGGAGTTAATTTATTTGTGGGTCAGATTGATCTTTTTTCATGCTTGTTACCAGCCTTTGTTCAGATGTGTCCACAGTAGGATGAGAATTAGAATCCTTATTTAGGATTAAATTATTCTACTCCCTTTCTGAGATCTCTACTGAATACCTAGGTTTTTTCAAGTTCTCTCAATCTTGCCCAGTCTGAAATCAGACTGCTTACAGCCCTGTGCAGCCTCTGACTGTGGTTCACTTCAGATCTCCCCTTACCTGGTCTAGTGGAGTCTTGGTCTGCAAATACACAACTTAGTATTCATTCAGAGTCTGAACTGCAGAGACTCATTGGTGACCCTATGTACATTTCCAGAGCCCCTTCTCTGCACAGCTGCCCCCTGCCTGGTACTCTGTCCTATAAATGCCAGGTTCCTCAGGAGCTTGGATTCTGCTCTGTCTCCATCTCAGTGATGCTGCTGTGCCTGTTTGGAATAGTCTTCCATGTGCCATGATCTGGAAAGTGAACCAGGCAGAAAGCCAGGAAGCTGGCAGGGCTCACCTCATTTGTTTATCTTCTCTCATGGATCAGGGTCCAATACTCTCTGTTGTCCAATCCCTTAAAAGGGGAATTGTATACATTTTGTCAGTTTTGTAATTTTTTTGTGGTGGGAGAGCTATTCTGTCATGGCTGAAAGCAGAAATAAGCCATATAAACATGATGAAATGAATGATATATCAGTGATGATTTACAAAATGATCTTTATTAGCATACTCTTCATAAAATAAATTATTTTATTGTCAGCATTTAAATTCCTTATTTGAAAAGTGATGCACATGTTTTGATATACTGTATATTGGATAATTTGTTGAATATTTTTCCATTATTTACTCCCATTAGTAACCAAACTTACTCAAAAAATTATATCGCCTCTTAGCACTAAGCATTATGCCATATTTTCTGTAACGTATTTATGTACAACCATAATTATTTTACATAGTGCTATAAATTAGGACTCTTTTTGTTCTATGTATGTTAGTGTTATTTTTCTAATAAATGTTTTTTGCATTCTTACTATTTGCCAGTCACTTATTTTATTTTACCAAAAGAAGTTTCACTTCATTTAGTGACTCAAATTATTTTCCTAGAAATGTGTTTATCTAGAGTCATCAGTTGTCTACATCTTAAGTGTTAGTAAATGTATTGCCTGATTTACTATATATCTTAGTTCTCAGGAGTCCAAGGGCTTAATGCAATATTAGGCCTCATCTTGAGAACTACACTAGCATTCTTTGAACTCTGAACTTTCTAAAGTAAAATATATTGTAGAGTTGTGTATAATGGCTTTTTGTTTATGGTCTACTAAAAGATAAACCCTTACACGAGGAAATAATAGATTGTTACATATCTTTTCCTAGTGACTTTTAGTTGAAGAATTCATGGTAAATTGATCAACCCTCAGCCAATTAGACTTTGACATGTACTAATAAGACCTAATCGAGGAATTATGAAGACATTTGCTCAGGAGAAAATGAGCACATAATTACACCATAAGGAGGCTAGAGTATCAATGTTACCCAGCTTTAAGAATATTAGTTGAAGTCCCAGTGGCATCTAAAGGACACTTCATCATGTATCTGTGAAATATGGTACTACCAAGGCAATTAAACGATGCAGAATGATCCATTGTCAATTGTAGAAGTTCAACATTAAATACCTATTTCACCCTCTTGTCTCTACCTTATTCAGGTGCTGGGGGATGGTCTCCATCAGACAGTGACCATTATCAATGGCTTCAGGTTGACTTTGGCCATCGAAAGCAGATCAGTGCCATAGCAACCCAAGGAAGATACAGCAGCTCAGACTGGGTGACCCAATACCGCATGCTCTACAGCGACACAGGGAGAAATTGGAAACCCTACCATCAAGATGGGAATATCTGGGTGAGTCATTGTCAGAAAGGCAAAGACATAGAATTGAGTTGCAGATATTTGAAAATGGTAGCAGACTCCCGTGTGTCCTAGGGCTGGGGAGCAGCTACCCGGCTCCTCCCAGCCCTGGTGCAGCCTGGGGAAAGGCTTGGGAGTAGCCTGGTTGGAGGTTCATCTTGCTATTTTTGTTTCTTTGTGTTTATGTCCTCTGGTACTTGCTGAGAGAGAAAAGAAATGCGAGCAAAGCAAAAGAAGGTGGGAAAATGAATCCAATCCCCAGTAAGCCCTACCCTGCCCCACCCTGTGCCTTTCCTTAGTGGTGGAAAACCCTTATATTGTAAAGTCAATGTGTCCCCTCCCCCAACCTCTGGTGTATTTCACAGAAAACAAAACCACCCGATAAAACTGTGTTGAAACCTGAACAAAAAAAGAAAAGTATCTGGTAAATAATGTAATGATGATAGAACATTAGAGTTCTTTAAGCACAATATTTCAAGTAACTATATTTTTGTCTGTAGAACAGATCTGCCGTGGTACACATTGTATGCAAATTCTGAACTGTGAATTAAGCAAATAGAAGGAAAAAGAAATTCTCCTGACTTAGGTTTCCATTTCTTATATCTGCTCACACTTATTTGCCTCAGACTGTTTCTGTTGAACATATTTAATTAAATCTTTAAAGGACGACAGGTAAGAAGGTCTATTGCCAACAGTGCTTAGAGGAGCTAATGGACACAGGGCAGGGGGACTGTGGACTCTGAAATGGTTCACTTCCTGCTGGAAGCCAGCCCCAGTCCGGTTTTCTGTTTTGTTTCAATGAGGCCCTGTTTGGTTGAAGCACCACTTCTTAGCTACCTGTGAAGAGAAAAATAAGGTAGAAAAATAGTTTTCTTTTAAAGAGAAAGTAAATGAAAGACCAGCCACAGCTCTGGAACACATCAGGCACCACGATTAGCATCCCCTCCCCAGTGTTAAACGTTTTAAGATATTACTAGTCCTCACTCTGAGGTGTGTGCATTTGCCAGTATTTATCTATTAAAACCGCTGAGAAGCTATTCATTCATTCATTCATTCATTCTTGTTGATTGAAGAAAGTTTCCTTAGGCTGCAGTTTCTATTCAAGGTTTAGGGCAGCAGGTCTCAATCTGGGCTCTCCATTGAGTCACCTGAGAAGAATTTAAAGTATATGGATACCAGGCACACCCAGACCTATTATATCAGAATCATGTAAGTAGAAGTTATATTAATGACACTGATATTTTTCGAAACAGAGATCTTCAATTTGAGTAAACTATTGAACTTATGAAGAAATAATTTAGAGGAGTGGGAGCAGTGATTTGTGTTAAGAAAAGAACATTCTCATATTATAGTAGTAGTTTAAACCCCTATTACAGATCTATAGGCACTTTATCCTTTTATTAGGAGAGAAAAATATAAAGTTTAATCCACTTACTCTTAAAATTATTTTAATTAAATTGGAAAGTTGTGTATATTCACTCAAATATTCACACCATATAAATAAATTATTCTAAAATACTAAATGTTCAGGGCTCTATTTTAGTTTAATTATTTTAAAAGGCAACCATAACCAAAATGAAGTAAAACCATCAATACTAAACAAAAAGAAGGAGGAATGGGAGGAAATTCTTTTCAATTTATGTATTAGACAGAATGCTGGGGATTTTCAACCTGACCAGGGCCCACTCCTAGAGAATTTGTATCTTAAAAATCCTCAAGCAATTTTTGTGAGTATGCAGAGTTTAGTGCTCCAGGCTTGGGTAGGTGGTCATTTCCACAGCAGTATCCAGTGATCGTAACTGTCATGTGAGATAAGTTTATAATATCCTGATAATCAAAAGTACGTATGAGAGAGTAGTCCTTCAGAAGTAACTTCTATTAAACCATGATTGTATGGCAAGAACATTTGTATATTGGGATGTGTAAATTGTAGGAAGCAAGTAGAGGAGAAAATTTCTCTTTATGGAAAGTCTTCATCTCACAATTAAGATAATTTAAAGTCTCAGGCATAATTTATAGAAAAGTGGTTTTCAACCCTGGATACACAGTGGAACCTAGAAAGCTTTAAGACATGGATGTCTGGGCCCTACCTCCAGAGATTTGGAGTTAGGTGGTCTAGGCATTGAGATTTTAAAGCTCCCCACGTCATTCTAATGTGCGGTCGACATTGAGAACCATATTCTAGATTGATTTTCAGCCTGTAGGTAAGGTGGGGATAGAGGGGATCAACTGTGAAAAACAATGGTAGAAGAGAAAAATTAGAAAGGAGCTTCCTAAAGTAGAGCAGAGAGAGAGAGACTGACCAAATGACTAACCAAACAACAGACCAAACAACTAACTGGGTGTAGATGAGTGGGGCTCAGATCACAAACTCTTCCAGGAGAGCATTCATTATTTTCTAACTCTCTGTGGGTGCTAACTGAAAATGCAATTACTTGAGTGGCTGCAGCCAGACTCCAGACTATCTTTCAGATTTCTGTTTCTGTAAAGTCTTCATCCCACAGTTGAGAGAATGTCAAATCCTCTCCTATCATAATGCACTAAGGTAGCTTATAAAGATGGCTGCTCTAAAGATCACTGCTAAAATGCAGTGGTACTAGAGCTTTAGTTATCAGACACTTAGAAGTAAGGGAGGGTCCCATTCTGACTAAATACAGAGAGGTAAGTGAAGAGAACTAAGGAGGGTGACTTGGACTCTTCTGGTCTACATAAAATGCCAGTGGTTGAGTCAGGGAGACAGGGTCATTCAGCGAAAGTATCACAAGTTGTGAAGGTAGGCTACATCGACATACTGGACTCTCAGCCCTTTCTGATGGTGATAAGGGGTGTATTGCTATTGTTTTTTGCCTTTCTGGTGTTCATTTTGTCGCTTCCTTTAAAATTATGTATTTCTCATTAAAAATGAGTACATGGTGAGCAATGAATGATTATTTCTAGATGAAAATATAGTGAGCTAATTATAAAATTTTAAAAATCAAAACAAATTTGAGACACAAACTAAACACTGTAAAATATACTTAAGTGCCAATGAGCCTGCAATATAATTTACTTTACTTTAATGATCTATGATAGAAATATTTTAACCCTCACTAATCTAAAAAATAGTCCAGCACTTTGATGTATTCTAAAAGAGATAAAATTTGTTGTTTCCTAAAAGTTCTTCAGTACTTTTGAACTTATGTCTTAACATGCGCTAAGTGATTAAAATTTAGCACTTACAAATCTCAACCAAAAATATACTGGGCTTAAATTTATTAAAAATGGTAATCAAACTTTCTCTTACTCCAACTGTTTAATGTAATGTATATTGCACTTAGAAGAGTGAGAGAGTGGCATGGACATATATACACTACCAAATGTAAAATAGATAGCTAGTGGGAAGCAGCCACATAGCACAGGGAGATCAGCTGGGTGCTCTGTGACCACCTAGAGGGGTGGGATAGGGAGGGTGGGAGGGAGATGCAAGAGGGAGGGGATATGGGGATGTATACATATAGCTGATTCACTTTGTTATACAGCAGAAACTAACACACCATTGTAAAGCAATTATACTCCAATAAAGATGTTAGAAAAAATAAAATAAAATAAAGGCTAGTTAAAAAAAAAGATTTCTCACATAGATAAGATTGGATAGCTTTTTGATGGATAACACCTTATACAATGTAAAGTTTCAGAGAGTCAAAACATTTCAAAGTTGATGAAGTTTTAAGGTTGCTTTTCCTATTTTTTCCTAAAATGATTGATTACCTGAGAAGAATGCAAAATAATGTAAGTTCAATCACTGAAATACTGTTTTTAACAAATGTCCATGGTTATTCTTTCTATGATTGTAGAAATGGACAACCATGACGAATTTTATTATAATATTTTTCTTATATGTGCATATGGAGATTCTGAATTATTTTATGACCATTGGATGATATGTTAAAATAAGTGAGGAATAGGTCATGTAGATAAGAAATTACGACAGTCTCACAGGATTTTAAAGTCATGAGTCTCATTGTGGATGAGAATGGTTCTTGAAAAGACCTCTGAAGAATACTTTAGCTGAATATTTAATACTCAAATACGTGAGTTGCTAAATGTGCTAAACTAGTCAAGCTTCTTATTCCTCTTTGATAATACTAAGCATAATAGACTCCTTTACACTTTATCCTCAATGCCATTTCCTTCTATTTAGAATTTCCTTTCCAATATAAAAGGAAAACGTTCAGGTTGGTAAAATTGCCAAAACTTAATTTGCATTTACATATTCCACAAACTCTAATTTGCATACTTTTCAAGGTATTTTCAGATTTCCTATGTATAATCTGTTAGAGAGAAAGGAAGTATTCTTATATAAGCATTTCTTATCAAAAGTCCATTGAACATTAATTCAATAAGAATTCCAGCACGTTTTTCTAAGTGGCTGCATTTAGTTTTGCTTAGGTAATTCAGTTACTGGTTTTGAATGTAGATATTTGGAGCCAAAATAGGAAATTGGAGTATTAATAGTGAATGCCTTCCTTACATATTATTATTGTTTTTTAGGATAGTAACATACTACAAATTTACCTGCAATGTAAACACAGTTTTTCTTTCTCTTTTTAAAATTGTCTTTAAATAGTGAGGATATGCTTATATATTCCTAATTCTTTTTTTTAAGCTGTTTTAATCCCTTTCATTAATAGTGTCAGAGTGGGATCAGTCATCACTGAATATATTGAAAGGAAAGTCCCACAGAACAGGAATGTTTTATATTTAAATTACATAGTTAGATCCTTATCAAGAATATAGAAATATATAATTTTGTATTCTCTAAGCAATATTAAGTAGAGTATTAATTTCCTAGATCTGTGAAAAAAACCTCAGATCTCTTTGTTGCTTACATGCTCTCCCCAAATACACACACACACACACACACACACACACACACACACACACACACACACACATATATACACGCACATAAAACTTAATTGTTTCTAACAAATTTGAAACATTTAAAAAATCTG